TAAACTTTAAAAGATTCACCACTCGAACACCCCGTCTAACTGTCGTAATTCGCAAGAATTGCACGTTAACAATATTATTTCAGTTTTTTATTATTCTTCATATTGTTTTTATTATTATTTCATCTATTTTTGTTATTTCTATTATTTTTTAATTTATTATTATTATTTCTATTATTCATCTTTATTTATTATTATTATTCTCAATATTCATTTTCATTATATTTTTATTAAGTATTTCTTTTAGATTATTATTTTTTTCTATTCCATTATAATATTTTTTTCTTTTCTTTTATTGTATTTTTTTTTTTTATAGACATTCTATTCAATTATTTTAAAATCATCTTTTAATTATTAACATTTTTATTATTTTCTTCACTTATATTTTATTTTTTATAAAATAATCAATTATTAGTATCATTTAAAATATATTAACAAATATATCATTTTAACATAATATTACTTATTTATTATAAAATTGGAATTATATAAATAACTAATTTACATTTTTTTTTTTAAAAAAATGTAGTAATTTCACAAAATTTTTATTATGATAAGAGTAAATTAAAAAATTAAAATACAAAAATCAAGAAGAAATTACAAAAATCTTGTTAAAAAAATCTAAAATTAAACAAAAGAATACTAATATAATACTCTTAGAAATTAACTTAACCTAGGCTAAGACTATTACTTTTTGGAAAATATTACATATAAAAAAGAAAAGAAGGATGTAATCATTACTATACTAATAATTTGACCAATAGAATCCTAAACATTTCATGACATTGATAGGATTTAATCTATTTGAGATAGATGAAAAGTTCAATAAAAAAGTGTAATTAGGAAAAGAGAAGTTTTTTAATTTAGAATTAAGAATTAATATCAGAGGATTTTTTGAAGTTATAAATGATCAAATACGATCTTTTTAATTATTGTATTTCAAATACAAAGTGCATAAAAGAGAAATAAGCAGCAGTAGTTAGGGATTGAAAAGTTAATTTACTACAAATAAAATTAAAAAGATAATTAGAAATAATTCTTTAATGAGAATAAAGAAGAAAGTAGAATTGTAGGTAGATAGCATCTAACAGTCAAGCTATTCAATTTCATAATCTTGTGCATTGGTAATGAATTTGAGATGATCTTTTGATTGTTTAATAATAGTATTTATTTGATAGTTAATAACAGAAAATATTCAAATATGATAAAAATCTTTATAGTTTACGTCACATCTTAGACACAAAAGTAATGAAGAATAAAGTGACAGGTGTCTTTTCTTGAGCATTTCAAAAGTAGGTATCATCTTCAAAAGTTTTTGATATTTCATTTTTCTTAGGAAGGAGGCAGTATAAGATATAATGTGAGGGGTAGTATTATTTCTGAGTTTGAGCAATGTGATAAACCAATTTGTTTGATAAATTTGTTGATTTATGAGAGATGTCCTTAATGAACTGCCAGATGGGAACAATGATGGTAGAATCATAATATGTAAAGTAACACCTGGGAGCATTATAAGTGTTGAGTTGAAGGGCAGTTGAGTGCTGACAAGATTGAGCCAAGGAGTCAACTTTGTTATTAAAGACATTGTCTGAGTGAATAATGATTTACATATTAAAATTACTACCTTTATATAATTTTTAAGGTCAATCAATTCTGTTAGATCATTCTTCTTATTTCTTTATATTTCTAATTCCTATTCTTTCATTAGCAAGTGTAATCTTTTAAATAGCGTTGGCTTTGATAACAAAAACACGATGCAGAGTAATTTTTTACAAATTGTCTCTATTTATTGACTATTATAATAACCTCTTAACCGCACAACTTCGTTTCGTTGTCGGTAGCGTTAGCGTGATCAAAAATTTTTGGAATCGTCCGTTACGGTGTTTAAATAAAATAAAAAAAAATGGCTTGGGCGAGTAATTTCCGTGGTTAATTACTCCCTAAGGAAGAACAGGCAGCACCAATGGACCACTAATAGATTCTGGATTTTTTAAAACATTACACAGTGAGCACCGCCAACAAGTACATCAGCAGTACATCAGCGAGGCCCGTACCAAATAAATTATATCGGTTTTACAACAAATACATATATATTTAATTACTTTATCGGGAAATGTTTTATTCCTGTTAGGTTCGTCTTATTAGGCACAAGAAAGAATTAATGTGTGTTGTAATCAAAAAAAATCAACATCGAACCTTTATTTATATTGTCGAAAACTTATATAGATTTTAATTATTACAATTCATTCGTAATCCAATTTATCTTGATTCGTAATGATCGTAAGCAATTGATTAACGAATAAATCTTTTAAAGAACGTTATCTATGCTGCATCCTTGCTCTTTTGAAGCATTCGCAGCAAAGTTGAAGGGTTATATAATAGCGATTTTACTGCGGATCCAACGAGTTTTTGCATTATATGGCGTCACTACTTCTTGATATTGCAATTTGTAAAAATACATCTTTATCAAAATCGTTTGGTATAGGTAACTGATAATACTGCGTATTTTTTGTCTGCAAGAATAAAGATTTAATAAGACTATTTTTCTTGAATTTCAATATTTAGAAAGGCGTCAAGGATTATTATGTGGTTTAATTTAATACTTGGTTATTGAATCCGATCAAATTAATTCAGTGATCTTACGATTCTCAGTTCGGAAAATCTTTTTACTTTTAAAGAAATTATTTATATATTTTTTAATAAATTCAATATATGACGTCCGAACAGAAATTATTGGTTTGACCAAATGGATAACTTACCGGTAATCTTTCAGCTGCAAGAAATCCCTTTGAATTGAATTTAAGGATTTAATTTAACCATAAAAATAGAATAAAGGGGTTTTGATTTTCCTTATAAATTTTCATCGAATTTTCATTACAAGACGCAAAAACAAAATGATTGATTCATTGCCACTAATCTTCCTAATTACATCTTTAATAAGCTACCTTTCCTACAAAGCTTACATATATCCACTTTACCTTTCACCATTATGTAAAATTCCAGGTCCGCCACCAGATAATTTTCTTCTTGGTAATCTGATACAGATAATTAAATTAGAAGTAGGAATTCCACATATTGCATGGACGGAAAAGTATGGTGGTGTGATAATGTATAGAGGATTATTTAATAAACAGAGAATATTCATGACAGATGCTAAAGCTCTTCAGCGTGTTATGACTTCTTATGATTATCCTAAACCACCTGGTTTTATCAAAGAATTAAAGCCTTTTTTGGGAAGTGGAATACTATTTTCCGAGGGTGATGTACATAAAAAACAACGTAAAATTATGAATCCTGCTTTCAGCTTTACTAATATTAAGGTAGGAATAAGGAATAAACTAGACAATTCTAGGAGATTGTTAAAAATTTTCCTTTTTTTTTTTCAAATTTTCATTAGGAAATGATGCCAGCTTTTTATAAGGTTGTCAATATAATGAAAGATTTATGGATAAAAGAAATTGGCGATAATGAAAAAGTACAAATCGATATCATGCCTTACTTATCAAAGGCAACTTTGGATGTCATAGGTTTAGTTGGTAAATAGACACATCTCATTTAAACAATTTGTTTTCGTGTCACATCACGAATGAATTTACCAACGTACTTTCTTTGTAATTAATAAGGGTTTAATTTTGAATTCAATTCTCTTACTTCCGAGAACGAATTAGCAAAAGCTTACACAATGGTATTCATTCCCGAAAATCGCCGTAGTATATTTACCCGTCTCTTATCAAATTATATTCCTTTAATAGACAAACTTCCAACAGAATATAATATTCGTAAAAGAGAAGCATCACGTATCATTGATCAAGTTTCTACTAAACTTGTTACAGAAAAGTTAGAAAAAGCAAAGCTTGGTGAATTGGAAGGAAATGATTTATTGACGATCTTAATTAAACAAAATGAACTAACTACTATAAAAGAAGATAAAATGACTAAACATGAAATTAAAAATCAAATAATGACTTTCTTGGCTGCTGGTCATGAGACTACTAGTGTTGCTGTTGCATGGGCCTTACATTTTCTTTCGCAAGATATTGATGCACAAAGTGTCCTTAGAAGCGAATTATTAAAAGCTTTTCCGGATAAAGATTTTATCCCTACCTTTGATCAAATAAATTCTTTGGAATTCTTGAATTGTGTTGTTAAAGAAACTCTGAGAATAAATCCTCCAGGTAGATTGTCTTAAAATTGGGGGGGGGGGGGTAAAAAAAAGAAGTAACTTATGTATATTCTTGTCTTGTTAGTTCCACTGACTGTACGTACATCGAAAGAAGATGATGTCATCAATGGATACAAAATTCCGAAGGTAAATAATAAATTACACTCTTAAGAAATTTTTTCTCTCTTAGACACAAATTCATCTCATTCTCTTTATATCATAGGATACACCAGTATTTATTTTTATAAACACAATTCATCATCTTCCTTCAATATGGGGATCCGACGCGTCCATATTTAAACCTTCGCGTTGGCTAGATCCAAATCTCACCTCAATTCAAACGAATTATACTTACCTTCCGTTCTTGACGGGTCATCGTTCTTGTATTGGTAGTAAATTAGCTTTAAGTGAAATTAAGGTTATGTTGGCAATTTTAATAAGAAACTTCAAATTTACAAAAATCGAGGGTTTCGAAGTGAAAAAAAAATTAGCAATTTCTCTTAGACCTGATCCGACTGTCAAGGTTTGGGTTCAACAAGTGAATTAAAAAGTATGAGATTGAATGAACATTGTAATAAATATAAATATATCTCTCTCTTTTGATTTTTATTATTAAAATCTTCCTTTTTTTTTTTTTTTTTTTTTTTTTTTTTTTTTTAATGATAATAAAATTAAACACATTAAAAGGACAAAATTATTCATGCTTTGCTTTCTTTTTTGAGGAACTGCCTTCATCACCATCTCCATATTTTTGTTCCATTATTTTACTAATCTTTTGCCAATCCCTATCCAATTTTTGTTTCTCTGATAAATCTTTACCACTTCTACGCGTTTTACGTCCATCAGTTTTCTTGACTCCAAATTGGAATGCCGATTTAGGCATTGCTGTAACATTATCCTAAAAATAAAACATTCAACCTTGACAGTTAATGACATTGTAAACAAATAATAGGAATTGGCCCGCAGACATATAGCATACCTTGTATGATAACCATTCTTCTTCTGTATCAAAATCCCATCGTGATAATTGTGCCTTTTTATTCTTGGCAACGCCTTGATCTCTTATGGTGTGCACTTCTCCTTCAGAATCAGAATCCTCATGTCCAGAATCGTACGCATTTTTCCTTGTACCTTCACTGCTTAAACTACTCAACCCAAGCCCATAAGTAGAATAATTTCCTTCATAACCGTCATAATCATACAACCTCTTCTTATTTATTTCGCTCTTCACTGAAGATTTGTTATTATCCGACGTTTCAGAACTCTTTACAGTATCCTCGATTTGGTTTATTCCACTAGCAGAGGCTACTTTATTTATTAAAGTCTTTAAATCTTCATTTCTCGGTTCCTCATCATCAACATCCATAGCGTCATTATCCACATGTGATGCTTTAAAGTAACCCTTCGGAGTATCTACCTCAACTGACTGAGATGGTGGACGAATAGGTCCAATCATTGGTATATCCTCTTCTTTCTTATTCTCATCTACAGATGGTTCATCAGGAACTGCTGTATAGTCTCTTCCAGCTTCCTCGAATATATCTTCAGATTCACCAATAGCCGCATATTTTACCGGAGCAACTATTTCGGGTTGTTTTTCTTTAACCTTTTTCTTTAATTTTTTATCCTTCACCTCTGAACTTCCATCATGATCACCTTTCCGTACATAAGCCATAACTCTAGATATCCTATCTATCACGAAATCATTTGTAGATTTATCGGATCTAGAACTATCTGCGATATCCGCTTTACTTCTTATGACAGTCGTTGAAATAGCAAATGGATCACCATAAAATCCATTCTCATCCGCTAATTCAAATACATAAGCCATACGACCAGCAACAAATAGTTCATTAATCCTTGGAGGTTTCTTCTTTGCATTTACCACAGCAATATCATAAATATTCTGTGCCATTTTGCTATTTATATTTGGTATTTCTTGAGATTCCTCTTTGATTCTTTCTAGTAGTACATGTTCTAATTCTTCGTCATTTTGATCATCACCTCTTTGTATCTCATTACGGACTTTATTAAGTAATGCAAAATCGAGACCTTTGACTAAATGTGTATATTCAGTATCACCACCAAGATATTTTGATTGTTCATAAACTAATTTTGCTTCTAATGTTTCGCTATTGTTTAAAGCTTTAAGAATTTGTTCTGTTTCTTGATAATCGGGATTCGCTCCTGTACGACGTTCAGCAGCTCGATCACGATATTTATTATCAGAAGACTTTTCTTCTGAAGTTTCAGGTCTCTTATATCTATCGCAATAGAAAAAATTAAGAGCGTAAGTAAAGATTGTTAGATAAATCGAAATTAAAAAAAAATTAATGATTTTCGAGATTAACTTTTTCTTTGATTTAGAAGCTGGTGCTTCAGGTTTGGCAAATGCTCCGGTTCCACCGGGTTTTCTAAAAAGAGAAAAGTTTCAAGCTAATATAAATCCGAAAGTGTAAAATGCTTGTAAAATGTCTTACGGAGTTTGCGGTACTCTTTGTCTTGGAGTTGCCATTCCTAAGATTCCCTTAGACGGTGCATCTCCCGGTCGAGGCGTTTGCAACAATTTTCGAAAATCATCTTGTTTCAATCTGTTTAAGAACAAATTTTGTTCAGTAATCCGCACTTTTTGAAGTATATCTAATGAAACTTTATCAACTATAAGATAGATACCCTTTTTGTTTATTTTCTTGTCGATTTAAATCAGACATCTTCTTAACAATTCACTATTCGTGACGAGTATACGCTTTTTATAAAAAGAGATTGAAAAAAACTTAAAGCTTAAGTAAGGCCTCTGATATAAAGTTTAGCTTTATTTAACGTTATTTTTTTTCTAATAATAAAAAGAATGCTACAATAAAGACAACTATCAAAATCGTAGATCATATTTATTTTAAGTCAATTATCATCACGTCTTTTTTAAGTCTCCCGTGATAGGATCAAAAATGGAACAGGACATAAAATTTATTTGTAAAATTTATTAATTAAAATATAATCGATTCTCGGGGTTATTAATTTTTCTATTTATTAATGAGGTATTTTATATTTTCAGACTTACAAGCATTAGAGAATCATTATAATTTAGATTCAAAAGAATAATATGATAATGATCTTCATAATGCTCATCGCATTAAGAAACCTGGTCATAATTAACAAAATCAAGCTCAAAACATGACATTACTGGAAATTATCAAGGGAACGCTTTAAAAATGTTAAGATTTAAAACAACCTACAGCAAAGGAAAAGGATCTCGAGAAACTTTACCTGGAAATGATAAAGGAAACAAATAACTCAGGGCTGAAAATAAATGTTAGTGTAAGAAGCGTAGGAAATATGTAAAGCTTTTTTCAGAACTTATGTTACCTAATAGTTCGCTAATATCTTTGTTTTGCGCTTTAATTAAAAAATTTTCTATTAAATATTATAGTCTATTATTGACGCGTCTTGTAATCAGGTAATAATTAAATTTTCAAATTTTATTAATGTAATTTGATGTGGGATAAAAATTTTTAAATCTTAATTTTTTTTTTATTTTTTAGAATCGCATATGTGATATAACAGAAAATTTGCTTAATTCAATGAATTCATACTTCCCTACTTTGGTTGTTACTGCTCCAGTCGGTTCAGAAAGAGAAGGATCGAATAACTATTTGAAATTGTTAATGGATTTTTGGCTCGATTAGCTGCTGGAACTTTAGTTTCTATAGACCCCGACGAGATATTAATTGGAATTGCTAGAGTGCAGATTAACAAATACGATTAGCTTGGTTCATTGCATGTTTCTAGAGGTTCGACTACAATTGTCAATGTGTTATTATCTTGGGATTATTCGACAATTAAGATTACCTAGTGTATGTAATATTAACGTTCACTGTTTAATTCTCGATTTTTTTTTTTTATCCTTGTGTTCAAAGGATGTTATAAAGGTATATAGTACTACCTATACATTCATGTGTTAATATTTACTTCGTCTTATTCACTAATTATAATTGTAATAGAAAATTTAAATTACTTCCACTGCCATTACGTGTATCTTTTGTACGAATAATATTGTAAAATAACCTATCGCTATGTGTGGAGGTCTTGTAAAAAAAGAAAATATGAGCGAAAAAAATAAAAGACTTAAACATAATGAGCTTTAAATTCTATTAATAAAGATTTCTGATATCTGATTTCATAGCTACGCGAATAATTGATTGGATGATACATTTCACTTAGGACAATAATATATATGGATTCTATGTTGTCTGGTTTAAACCAAAGCAATCATTTTGTTACGCAATATGAGTTAGAAATGGATAATAATTATCTTACAAATGCGCTAGTTCGTATCTTTTCTATTTGTTCGCCGGAATCAACTTCTATCGCAACCTTATGTATCAGATTCGAATCGAAAAACGTCCATTTCGAATACAGGCACCTGAGCGATAGTAATGAAAATGTCCATCTGTCCGCACTTGTGCTTCGGACTTAACAACGGTTTCCGAAACCGTTCCCTAGTTTGTAATAAACATAAG